TTGATCTGGTTCAGTGGTTTTCAGCTAAGGTTATATATAGAAACTTCCACGATACTTTTTCCACTTAAAGTTGTTTATTTTCTTTCTAAAGATTTATTTATTTATGCATATAAAAGCTGGGGTATGGCCAGAGGTGCGAGGGTGGGGGGCGGTGAGAGGATTCACCAGAGACAGGTGGGGAGTAGAACAGGCAGATTTGTTGAAATACACTGCTAAGGGGAGCAGCGGGTGTGACAAGAGAGGTCTGCTGTGTGCGTTAGCTCCCTGGGTGAGAATCATGCTGTAGTGGGTGAAGATAGTGTCACAGTGTTGAGACTTAACCCCTTATGACACGACGGAGGCCCCTCAAAATTTTTATTTATTTATACATATAGAGATGGGGTATAGGCCAGAGGTACAGGGGCAGCGAAAGGAATCACCAAAGACAGAGTGGGGAGCAGAACAGGCAGATTCCCAAAGTACACTGCTGCGAGTAGCAGCAGGCGAGAAAGGAGAGGTCTGCTGCACCAGTGATCCAACCCGCCCTGAAGTGGCTGCGACTAGCTTGCAGTGCTGCGCTTTCAGCCGCTGCACCACCAGGGAGGGCAACCACCTTGACCATTTTTTTTTTTTAAAGATTTATTTATTTGTACAGAACTGGGGTACAGGCCAGAGATGCGAAGGGTGAGAGGCTTCACCAGAGACAGAGCGGGGAGCAGAACAGGCAGATCGACCAAGTACACTGCTGAGGGGAGCAGCGGGCGGGTCAGGAGAGGTCTGCCACGCCATGTGGATCTCCTCCGTGGCGGGTGGGGATCGAACTCATGCGGAAGTGGCTTTAGCTTTTTAGTGCAGTGCTTTAACCCGCTGCGCCACCAGGGAGGGCCCCCACCTTGACCATTTTTAAGTGTACAGCTCAGTAGCATTAAACACATTCCCTTGTTGTGCAACCATTACCATGATCCATTTCTGGAACTTTTCACCTTGTAAAACTGAAATTGTACCCACTGAATGATAACTTCCAATCCTACCCTTGCTTCAGCAGCCATTACTTTATAAATTTGACTATTGTAGACTCTTCATACAAGTAGAATCATATTGAATATGGCTTATTTCTCTTAGAAGAAATATCCTCAAGTTTCACTCATGCTGTAGTATGTGTACAAACTTTTTTTGAAAGCTGAATAACACTGAATTGTATACTTATATTGTGAATTATTTACTCATCTGTTGATGGACATGTGACTTTTACCTTTTGGCTATTAAATAAAGCTACAATGAACATGGGTATAAAATCTCTCTTCAGGATCTAGCTTTTAATTCTTTAGAGTATAGGCCCAGAGTGAAATTGTTGGACCATATGCTAATTCTATGTTTAATATTTTGAGAAATTACCATATTATTTTCTCTAGTGGCTGCACCATTTTACACTTTACTACTACATTAAGTGTTTCAATTTCTCTTCATCTTTTCCAGCATGTACTTATTATATTTATTTTTGCTAGATCATCCCTACTGGCTCCTTCTTTGGGATTCTAGCTAGAAAAAGGTGTTGATGTGACCAGAAAGTTCTTCCCCTTAGGTTTGAGGTTCAAGCTTTTTTGGTGGCAAATAAGGTCTAGGGTAACCTGTCCTTCCCTTTCATTTCCTTAATCACTTCAACAGGACTGGTGATTGCTAATGAGCCTCTGGGGACCGTGACACTCACTGTTTGAGCTATTGTAGCTGCAATAAATTTGCCACGTGGGATGGTGGCAGGTGTAGGTTTGTAGCTGCTATTTTTTCCCTTTGTAAAAATTCTCTGTGGTGAGTTATGGTACACTGGAGAAGTACTGACATTAGAGAAGACAGTATTTTTACCACAGAAAAGTGGTTAATGTAAATGGGAATTTATGTCTATTTCTAACAGTCCTTCCTTCCCACAGAGAGGATGGAAGGAATTGAAATGTCTAGTAGAATACAGGCCGTAGAGTACATCATTCAGCTACAACTGTTAAAAGAGTTTCACAACACAGAAACTGAAATTCTACAAGGTGAAAAGTAAGGCAAAGCAGTGACTGAATTGGTCTCTCTGGTTTTCCCCATTCTTGCCTTCCAGGAAGGTCCAGGAACCTTCACTAGGACAGCAAAGCCTTCCCAATGTTCTCATCTGTATCCTCCACCTGAAACCCAGGCTCCTTCTTGCAATTAAACATCTACCTTGTTGCCACTCCAGTAATTGGATGCCTGTCTGATCACCTCTGTGATTCCTTTACGGATCACCTATTCTCCCCGAAAAAGCCCAATTTTGTTCTTAACTTCTCTCTTCTGAGTTGGTTTCCTTGACGACTGCCTACTGCAAGGCTAGCATCCCTGAACTCTGCCACTCTAGTTCATACAGGGCTTTGAAGAATAAATCAACAAATTGAATTCCCACCAGTGGCTAGTTACCAACCCCGTCCCCCACCCCCACCCCTCTCCTCTATGCCTGTAGCTTATACCCAGAACTATTTCTGGTAAAGACCCACCCCAGGGTGATGCATCTTGAATCTCTTAACTGGGCCTATTAGCCCCACCTCAGACAGGGGTGACCAGACTGCACTGTCAAAGCACAACATGCAGCAGTCAATAGTCCTAATCACGGAAGCTATCATTTGCAACTACTAATAATCACGTCTTACTTTCAAACACTCAGTCAATATTATGTAGATTCCAAAGTGCCAATTCATTATGCTATTAAAAATTAGGGAATTCATAAGTCTTGTAATAACTTCTGTTTTGTTTTTTTTTTATTTCACAGCACAAGAATCTTAAGCAAAAAAAGTGGGTCAGAAAGGAATGAAAGACAAGGAAGCTATAGAAGCCTATTTAAAATGTTTAGTATGCAGTTGCTTTTATTTGTGCAAATCATTCATAAATTAAATTATCAGAGAGTATGTTATGTTTCTAGGTTCTAGAAAATCTAGAGGAACTTAACCATAGTTAACAATGGTATATTTTTTCTTTTACCTGAATTCTATACATCTGAATGACATAATAGTTTATGTCAAACTAGTCATAAATAATTTTAAAAAATGGTTCGTGTACTACATCATATAGTGTTCTTCAGAAAAAGAAACTACATTTGAAATTTTAATTTCAGGGTAAATATTCAAGCTAAGTGTACTTATGAAATAGTTCCACTTACTTTAAATTTCTGTCACATGAAGAGAATGCCTGCTGGTAACTTACATTTTATGCAGCTTTACTTCCACTATAAATGTGGGCTAGTATGCTTGTTCATTCTTTTCTTTTTTCTTTTTTAGATTTTAAGACTTTTTTTTTAAAAAAAAGATTTTTTTTTTATGCATAGAAGAACTGGGGTATAGGCCAAAGGTTCAGGGGTTGGTGAGAGAATGCACCAGAGATAGAGTGGGGAGCAGAACAAGAGGAGCTACTGAAATATACTATGGAGGGAAGAAAGACAGGTCTGCTGCACCAGGCCCCTTGAAGCTTTTAACACTGATAGGTCAAATAGATTCTATTGAGAATTAAGGAAATGTAGGTTTTCTTTTTCCTTTTTAAACTTTCATGAGTACAGATAGAGATTACATTATTAGTCGAGTATTCAGCTTATGTAATTATAACAGTTTTTACACAATAAAGCTCAATTATGTGTCTTTGAGTACTTAAGACTTAAGAACCAGTTTTCATTTGTTGCTCTTTAACATAGTAATCAAACTGAAATAAAATTCAGTACTATGTAAAATAGAGATTGATGTTATCCATCGATCTTACATAAAAATAAGACAGTCAGAAGAATAGCTCTCAAAAATTGTCATGATCCTTTGTACTACATAAGACTGAATTTCCATTAATATATGATAATTATTTGTTTGATTTGACTATGTATATTTACATAATATCACCATGTATTCAATAACAACATCTTCATGTGTTTACAGTAATTGCACTGTGGAGATAGTATTCAAGCCATTGATTGAGTTGGCAGAAAACCAGGATGAATCAAATGGACCACCATGTTGTCTCAAAGGGAAACCTCAAATGTTCCCTCTCTTGCCACAAAGATTATGCAATAAGCTCAAAGTTACTAAAGGGCAGAACACAACCCAAGAATAGTTACTTGGTTGAGCTTGAAGAGCTGTGATACATTTTTGAACTCTTTGTAGTTGAATTCAAATCTAAATATTGGGTCTACTATAGCAAATCATATTTTTTAAAAAGTTATCTATTGCATATCTTGACATTTCTTTTTAAAAGAGAATATTCTTCAAGATTGAGGAAAAATTTTAAAAAACTTCAGTAAGTTTGACTCTACACAGTTATTTTCAAATATATACTCTAGAAGCCTTGAAGAGAGTAGGCACTGAGCAAAGAAATGCATTAAGTAAGAAAATTTTGTTTTTAGGTTATTTCTAAGTTGAAGAGTTCACTTAAAATCACTTAGGAACAGCAACTTTTTAGTCACTAGAGATAAGTCATCTTATTTAACATCTACTTTGAATTCTGCATACTAACCTTACCTGCTATTTTTCTGACTTTATAAGCTTTAGAAAATAATCCTGAGCTCCAAAAATTTGCTAAATACTAGTTTTCTAGCATACAATTCATAGAGCGTGATTTAATGTAACCTGAAGTTTCTTGGCAAGTGAGCACCTTTTGCTCCAACCATTTTTCCCCTCTGTGAAAATGTACAAGATAGAGCTTTTTCAATTTAGGTTATAATATAACCATTAGACAGTATTACAAAGTAAAATGGCTATCTTGAAAAAAAAAAAAAGGTTATTTTGATGATTCTGAACTTGAAACCCAGTTTAGTCCCTTCAACAACTAAAAATTATTTTAAGATTCTTAAGCCAAAAAGGGGGAAAATATAGCATGGTCAGTATATAGAGGGGTTCTAATAAGCTTACTCTGGCCACATGTAGATAGAATATTTTACTGAAAAAAAAAAACCAAAATAAGCAAATAAATAAGTAAATAAAAAGAAGCTTAACCTTCTTGCAGTCCCAATAATAGATCAAGAAAAAGCAAATAAATACCTTAAATAGAAAGGCGACAGAGGTCTTTCATCTTCCTGTGAACTAAAAGAAAAACATATTTTGAATTACTATAATTTCTGTTACTATCATAACAATTTTACTAAAACTCTGCTCACCTGTCACAAATTTTGTTTTGAGACATAAGTGCTAATCTCACATGGAATAATATTTTAGTTAAACACACTCAGACTTTGCCAAGGCCAATTACTTCTTCAAGGAAGGCCATTAAGAGAGATTGTCTCTAGATTAACCTAAGGTGAAAGTAATACAACTCACTTTCAAGAGGAAGCTTTTTACTACTTTATTCTATAAGCCCAATTCAAATACTCACATATTACACATAACCTCTTAAAATGATTACATACTCAATTATCTCAATAAAGTTAATTGCAGCTTATTAACATGATGATGAAACTAAGAAACCGCCAACTAAATATTCTTATTAAATGTGAGCATGTGAGCCACTTCAGCAGTGAGGCCCTCGTTATGAAAACACACCAGTTAGTAACGCCCATGCACTCTGTCTTCTGTAGTTACTCTAAGTATTAACTGGAATGGTTAACACAAATGGAAATAGACACAATTATAAAAATAACTTAGCTTCTCAGCCAACACAGAATCTGATTACAAAAATGAATTAATTTTTAACATGCAAAATACATGCTATAATAAAATATTTTTCCTTTATGTAACCTGTTTTATTTCCTTCTGATAAATGACCGCAAAGCATAGTTTCTTTTCCTATGTCTGCTGGAGTAGTTTTTGAACTCTTTGATTATATACTACAATACGATTTTTTTTTTTAACTGGTCAATGACGTCAGTATATGAAAAAGAAAAATCTATTAATTAGATACATAATTAATAGAGAAATGCAGAAATAATTTGATAATGTTAAAAAGGAATTGTAATATTTCTGTATGTAATTTTATGGTTAGTCTTCTACATCACCTGGTGTATATACCACTATTGAGGAAGCAATTAACTTCAGTGCTCTCTTTACGTTTTCCTACTCATCAATGGTGAAAAGAGAAAGTTTGCTTCAACTGGTAATATCCTGTTGGTCTGACAACCAACAAAACCGCATTACAAAGCTCCAGTGTAAAACACACATGACTCCCGGTTGGTAAAGTTGAAAAGCTCGTAACATTCTGATTGGAAGATGGCACCCAGAATATACTCTGTTTCATTCTCTTATAATTTGGTATCAGTTTCAATACTGCTTGGCTCTCCTACAGTCTATGCTGCCAAAGAATTCACTCAGTACTTGATTGTGCTAATTCTCTCCAAGTGAGGGGTACATCATGGCTCAGTTTTACTATTGACTGTACCATGCATGGATTAAGGGCAGGGCCTGCAGTAGACAGTAAAGCTGAGGAGTGAGAGGCACAATACCTGAGGAATAATCACCTTGAGCAGCGCTATTACTGGAGGGAACTACTAGCAGCCAACCTGAAAAGTGGACCTTCACAGTTATAAGCTGAACACTGCATTCAAACTATTTCTAAGAAATACTTAAATCATAAAAGGGCAGCACTGGATGCTTCCTAATCAAGGACTCAGTGTTATAAAGTGCTAATTCTGGCCAACACTATGCAAAATGCTGCAATGAAACACCTATAAATATTTTGTTATAGGAAAATCATTTCCATGTATTGTATAAATGGACACTGGCTAAATATTTCCTTGCCTGAAAATATTGCCTGGAAATACATTCTGGAATGTATCCTTAAATTGTTATGAAAACAGAACAAAAATGAGCACATTTGATCTAGAGTACTTCAGTTACCATTCCATTTAACAGCAATATGGTTTTCTTAGATTTTAGAAGTGCTCTAGGGAGATTTTTAGATGCTGCAGGGTTCGATCACAGCTCTACATGAGTTTTGGCCAATACTCTTGTGTAGGTGTGTCTGACTTCTTTAGAGCAAACAGAGATGATCACAGTCAAAATTTTCTTCTTTGCACCTTTTCTTCCTTACACATTTATTACCTGCCAGGTATTACCAGGTGCTCTACTTCACCTCACATCCTCACAGCACCCTCTCAGCTGCTTGCCTTCACTGAGGAGAGCAGGGTCAGAAGGAGCAGTCTAGGCAGGTCCCACCTGTGTAAATTCCTGCAGTATACATGTTAGTCTACTTTTTGCTGTTTACCATTTTCCCTTTGATTTGAACCTATCAGATGAACAGGTCAGGGAAAAATTCATTCCATGGTTAGTCCGTACTTCCAGCAGTCCTCAATAATATCTTGTGGACTTTGTAATCTCCATATCATGCTTTTCATTATAGCAACTCTACACCCATCTTTCAGTCAAAGTCCATTCACAGTGCATCACAAAATGTGACTATTAAAATACTGGCAGTTTGACACAAGCTTTTAATCATAAAAAACTTTTTTTTTTTATCAGGTTACATTGGCAAAATTTGTTAATGAAAAAGAAAAGCAGAAATTCTTAGTTTGGGTATGTCTTTGTCCCGGAATTTTTGACCAGTTTTAAGGGTTTCCAAAAAGAAAATACAAGCACTACAATATAAATAAAAGGACATATATTCATTAATTATTAGAGTTACTCAATCAACAGCTTTCAACAAGGCAACAATCTATCTATAGTACCAAGAAGAATTTGAAAAGAAAATAAAAATTCTCATATATTTTTTCCCCATTCATAAAAATATTATTGCATAGCTCGGGTCTAGTAGTATGATCTTGCCAGAGAGAAATTCTGAAACCAAAGTACTGCTTTTCAATTATTAAATCAGTTAGTTCCTTTTATTTATTTATTTATTTATGCATACAGAACTGGGGTACAGGTCAGAGGTGTAGGGGCAGTGAGAGGATTCACCAGAGACAGAGTGGGAGCAGAACAGGCAGATTGACAAACTACTCTGCAGGACAGCAGGTGAGACAAGAGAGATCTGCCACACCACGTGGGACAGCCCCGTGGCCAAAGAGAACTTGTGCTGAAGTGGCTGTGGCTAGCTTTGCAGTGCTGTGCCTTACTCACTGAACCACCAGGGAGGGCCCAAATCAGTTAATTCTTAAAAGTCGGTTTAATGCACTGATTTTAATTTTTAGGGAAAAAGACCAAGGGCCTTCCTTTCAAATGAAACTGAAAAAATAAACTTTTTTGACAAAATTTGCACATCAGAATGCAAAAACAGTGAAAGATCACCATTTTTACAGTTGTACAAATGGATTTTGTACTATTATGATAAGTCTCTTAGTATGTATTTACAGAAGTTGCTTATGCTGTTTCTGGCTTTGTGTCAATCTTAAGCATGTGCAATGATACTGAATGAGTGATAACTTTTTGCATAAATTTTAAGTTGAGCACATGATTTCTTTCACTTTTAATAAAAAAAATAAGCACATCTACTGTGCATGAAAATGGGTGTGTCATGAAATGAAGCCAAAGTATGCTGTAACAACTTGGAATTCATTCAATTTCCCCTTGGTTACTAGTATAAGCCCTATGTTTTAATTATTTCCTGTTTGCTGACTTTGAATAATGTCCAAACTTTAGCAGTCAGTCAATTAGTTTGCTTTTTAAAAATTTGAAAATACAATGAGAGACTTGGGCAATCGTGCCATGTATGTGAGACAATTACGTATTTAATGTGCTCAGACATGTGGTATTATAGTTTCTCAAAACAATGGCCTCTGGAAAGAATATTTATCAAATAGAGCCAAGGAGTAGTACAAATCTAAGATGGTGAAACTGAAAGAGACAATAGCATAGATATTTGGTTTTGGCTAATCCCTGTCTAATTTATTTTTTTCACATAGATCCACACAGATAGATGCACATAATGACCCCGGGCTTAAAATTTCTTGGTGCACTGAATTTCTAAACTGAAGTCACAGAATCCCATGCCTATCAATTTAATTATACAGAAAGCTAATTGAAATCATGAAAAGCAAGATGTTTTTATGTCTAAGAAAACCAACTACTGTTGGGAGAATCCCAGAGTGAGGTAGTTAGAGTGGACCTTCAATTACTGGATCCAACCACATTCCATTCAATTCCCCTTTGAACCAACTTGATAAACATTTCAATTAGTTCGCTTTCTAAGTGGTTAAAGTGGCTGGCTAACCCTCAAATTACATAATTTGCATATTAGCTACATACTTTAAATACATTTTCCAGTGATTTGAGTTAGAAAAAATAGTTCATGTGTTCCTTGAGTACTGAAAAGTGCAGAAAAATAGGTAAATGCTAAGGATTGGGCCACATTCATTAGAAGTAACTAGGGAAACCTCTTTGGGCTTAAAAAAGAAAGAAAGAGCAAAAGGAAGGGAAGACGAGAGAGACAAGTATGTAACGCACACTTAGTGAATATTATTAAGATCAATGTTCTTACAGGAACGAGATGAAACACTTGTTTTCTCAACCCTAATGCCAGAATGAACTTGGGTCAAAGAAGTACAGATTTTGTTGAGTTCAGATAGCAGAGAAAAGCAGAGTAGAAGCGAGTCTAGATTTGCCCATAGTAAATATGAGAATTGAGTAAATGGGGTAACTGATAAGAATATTTCCAAGTAAGTCTTTTTAGTCTTTTCTTTTTATTGAGGTAACACTGGTTTATGACATGCACAGGTTTCATTTATATTTCAACATCTGTATAACTTTACATCTCTACCAACAGTCTTGTTTTATTCACTACCATAAAAGTGACCCCCTTTACTCACTTTACTCACTGCTCATTCATCCTTCCCCTGATAGCCTCGATTATGTTGTTAGAATATGAGTTTCGTTTTGTTTATTCATATGTTCTTTATTTTCACGTGAGAAAAATACATGTTCTTATTTCTTCATTTAACTTATTTTATTTAGCATAATCTCCTTAAGGTCCATCCATGTTGTTCCAAATGGTAAGATTTAATCTTTTTCTTCTTTTATAGCTTAGTAGTATCCCATTATATTTCTATGTAACATATACATTTTTTTTTTACCTGATCATCTCTTGTTGGGCATTTAGGTTTTTTTTATATTGTGACAATTTCAAATTCCTTTAAAATATTCTTTTCTGCCTTAGCTCC